GTCTCCTTGCTCGCGCGCTCGAGCTCGAGGATGCCAAAGTCGTAGTGCATCTCGTCGCTCGTCCACTGCGGGTGCGCGATGGCCTTGACGACGCGGATGCGCTCGCCGTCGGCGCCACCCGACGTGTAGTGGGTGCCCACAGCCGCGTAGTCGATCTTGAACCCGTCAATGCAATGCGCCGCCGTCAACACGTACTTGGGCGCGATCAGCGTGCCGCCGCAGCGGCTCGTGGACGTGGCCGACCCGCCGCGGAGACCGGTGATGTACTTGAACTGGCCGACGGGGACTTCGGTGCCGCCAACGATCTCGGGACTGCCGCCTTCGGGGACGATGTCGGCGACGGCGGCCGCGGCGCAGAGCGCGAGGAGCGTGGTGTGGAGCTTCATGGTCGGTGGTCGGTGGAGAAACGGGAAATGGAATGGTGGAAAGAGGGTGTTCGTCGGTGTTGGGCTGGTTGAACTCAGACTTGTGGGTCGAGGTGCTCGAACTCAGACTCGTGGGTCGTAGGGGTAGGTCTAGAATGGGCTACCGGCATGTTGGTTGCGTGTCGTAGACGACGTTGACGTCATGAAAAATCGTTGCGCGCCGCGCACACCTGCATACATTCAAGCTCATGGGTCGTGCAAGTAGCTTCGTATCAGATGACGAAAGACATCTGAGATCGAGTCTCAGATCTCGCACGATTGGTCTCAGATTCGAGTCTGGGGCGGCTAGTATCAGATGATGCGATCATGCAAAAACAGTCCTACTTGAACTCCAAATCGAGATGTGGTTGTTGTGCATGGCGGTGGGTCGTGGAACAGGATGCGAGCTCTCCAACGCACCACTGCATCGTCACCGCTTCCTGCTGTTGCAGGGATGACCCGTCTTACATGACCAGCAGCGATACTGTATTTCCTCGGCCCAATGTACATTTTCAAATGGGACGCATGTACAAAGCAGCTGAGAGTGAATGCAGCTATTGGTAGATGCATTTGGAGGAGCACGGTGCAGCACTATAGTTGCTTCAAGACGTCAGCAATGGTCGTTGACGAAATTTTCGTCCTCAGTGTGCGTCTTGGATACTGTCTGTTGCTTCAACTCGGATCCGCGAAATCGAGGCTCGACTCTGATTTCGAGCCGTAGCCAGCCTTTCCAGTGCTCTGGCAATGGATACCCACAGATTGGGCATGTTGCTGGAGCAGCCGAGCACGTGGAAACCACCCGCCGATTCCCGTCCTTGAATTGCAGAGTTGACGGGAACCAGATGCGAGCGCCAATTTATGTCACAACGCTGGAAGCTAACGCTGGTGATTTTATTGACACGGGACTCTGAGTACAGTTGAGGCGCGACAGTCGATCTTCAACGGTTAATCAACCCTTGACCATCGGATCTGAAACCACATCCCGGGTCAGATCGCCGGTCTGATATCGCATCGCTCGTCGTTCAGCGTGGTATTTTGC